TGTTGGTAAAATTGGCTTGCATATAATGATTTTTACAGGAAAATTAATTTTATTAACTAGCTAGAGGTTGTACATGCAAGTTGGCAGGTGTGGTGTAGTGATTTTCTTGTGCTCTGATTCTAAAATGCTAAAAAAAAAAATCTTTAGGTGTTCTTGAAGACAAAATGAACGGCAAAGCCCATGAATGTTTCAGGTGAAAGGCACCTGTGATCTGCTACATCAGGGTCTCGCCCTGGTGCTCACTTAAATAGTAAATGCTAACTAACACAGCTGATATCCAGCTGTGAGCGCACTCATGTTGTGGGAGCTGCGGGTTGCATTCCACCACCCAGCTCCCGCCACCAGCTAGCTTTACCCGAAATAACAACACACAAATTGTATTCTTTTAAGCACTGCCTGGCCCATTAGCTCCAGCCTCTTATTGGCTAGCTCTTACATATTGATCTAACCCATTTCTAATAATCTGTGTAGCCCATGAGGTGGTTTACCAAGGAAGATCTTAACCTGTGTCTGTCTGGAGTGGGAGAACCATGGCGACTGACCTGACTCAGCTTCTTTCTCCCAGCATTCTGTTCTGTCTACTCCGCCTACCTAATTTTTTGTCCTATCAGAGGCCAAGCAGTTTCTTTATTACTTAACCAATGAAACAACAGATAGAAAAATGACCCTCCTCCATCATTTCCCCTTTTTCTGTTTAAACAAAAAAGAAAGGCTTTAACTTTAACATAGTAAAATTGCATATAGCAAAACAGTTATTAAGCAAGAATTACAGTTACAATATTTATATCTACTTTATCTTTTATCATAACAATGGAAAACTATAACTATAACTAACCATTCTTCAAGTTTATCAAAGACTCCAGAAGGATATAATATTACCTAAGTAAACAAGAGATCCAAAACTCTAGAAATGACAGAGACATCTCGCTGCCTGTACAGTCACCCAAAGTTCCTCCGTACCGTTGGGGCATCCATCTTCGGCCTTCAGGCCCATAGTATCCAGCAGACATTTCCATGAAGCAGGAAATTTCAAAGGCAGTCAGTCACTATCTGCTGTGTCCTGCAGAATGTCTTGCATACTCTTTTTTTGTTTTGTTTTGTTTTTTTGTTTTTTTTAAATTTATTTATTTATTAAAGATTTCTGTCTCTTCCACGCCACCGCCTCCCATTTCCCTCCCCCTCCCCCAATTAAGTCCCCCCCCCAGCCCGAAAAGCGATCAGGGTTCCCTGTCCTGTGGGAAGTCCAAGGAACCCCCACCTCCATCCAGGTCTAGTAAGTTGAGCATCCAAACTGCCTAGGCTCCCACAAAGCCAGTGCGTGCAGTAGGATCAGAAACCCATTGCCATTGTTCTTGAGTAGTCCTCATTGTCCGCTATGTTCAGAGAGTCCGGTTTTATCCCAGGCTTTTCCAGACCCAGGCCAGCTGTTTCATGAATCAGGAGCCCCTAAAGATCATCTCACCTTTAGGCAAGTTCAGTAGTCCTCTCTCTGAGGGTTCTCTGTGTCCAGTTTATACAATAGTCCAGACTAGAGCAGTTTCTTGCCCAAATGGCCATCAAACTCCATAAGGATCCTGTTCGATGTCCATCTTCTTGAAGCATATTGGTGTTTCCAGGAGCAGACATGTCTCATTGTCACGAAAAACCCTAAGTTATTAAAACATTAAATAGCATATTCCGTAGTCTTTGAAAGATATGAAGAATGCCAATCTAACTGAAAAATATCTCTATATATCTAGAAAATCTAACTAACATGACTAAAAAGTTGACTATTATTTATGATTATCCATTAACAACCTATATACACAACATTTTTAAATGAACTACACAATCACAATACCTTAATCAAGATCAGAAACACATATACATATAACAAAATTGACCTTAAATTTAAATCACTAAAGCAAAATCCATATCAATGCAAATTATTCATATCTATATCACATCCCCCTTTCAATGTAAAAGAACATTTGTAAACAATATTTGGGAATATGGGCACAGTTATTTCTCTCCAAACTGCTTCCTGCTGAATGGGGGCACTGATATTTAGGTCTTTCATGGTATAACCTGTGTGCTAGATTCATCTCAGTCAGCAGTCGAGTGAAGTAAATTTTTGAAGGTGTTCACAGCAACCCTTCAGGAGGGCATGGTCCATCATACCATTTTGGGATAGAAGCAATCCACAGAGTCTCATCCTCTGTGAAAACAAAAGAAGAAACTCTTTTCCAAAGTATCATATCCTTAGACCCAAATTCTGAAGTCAAGGTATTTTCAAAATATCTATCTTGGATTAGTTCAGCAGCATTTATAAACAAATATCTTTTGGCACCTCTTGCTCCTTCCTCAGCATTCAAACAATTCAAAGAGAGCATAATAGCATACAGTATCAAACTTCTCTGTTTATTTTCCATCTTTGTACGGCTTTATTTTAACCCTATTTTGTTTATTTTTACTTTTACTTTTTGCTTTTTGAGACAGGTTCTCTGTATATCTTTGACTTGGAATAACTTTGTCGACCAGGCTGTCCTTTAACTCTCAGAGATGCGTCTGTCTCTGCCTCCCAGGCATTGGGATTAAAGGCGTGTACTACCACACCTTGAAGTCACAGAGGTCAATCTCTCTCTGCCTCCCAAAGTGTTGGGATTAAAGGTGTGTACTACCACACCCAACTTCTCTCTTTCTTCCTTTTTTTTTTACATTTAAGAACTTCAACTTTTAGCCTGCATATATTTTTAAACACACTGTAAATCATTTAAAAGTTTTCTTTGTCTTTGAATCTCTCTTTACTGTATATCTCTCTTTTTCTGACCACATGAGTCTTTAATTTACCAAGCAATATCAGTAGGACTTTGACGACTAAATCCAGCCCATTCCTTAGCTTTCCAGCCTCATGGCGGAGGTACGGCTGTAGCCACATTTATTGCCACAAGTCTATGGCATTTCAAGGTCCCTGCCAGCAAGTAAGCTGCAGCATTATGTCCACAGACAACACACAAGTCCTCTCTCTGTAGTCGGCCCTCCTGCCTCAAACAGTCAAGAGTTTGCCCTCGCAGGACGTCCCAGAAAGCCAGCAGTTTAAAACAACACAGGTTTTTTCCTGCTACTGCTGAAAACAAACAACCATTCAGTTGACTTTTATCAACACCATTTAAGTGTTTCGTGGCAGGACCTCTTAAGAGCTGCAGGGTTTTGCAGCTAAAGCTGAGTCAGGAAGCCTCTCTTAGATGAGAGCGCTTACTTGCCTCTAGCAGGCAGAGTATATAGGGGAAATTGCTGCTACCAAGAAACCAGGTGCAATGCATTCATTTTGTTCTAGAATTACTTCCCAAGCTGTCTCATGCTTTATGCGGGAAGCAGCCCGCCGCTCCGTATTTCAACACACTCACCCCTGTGCACACAGCCTGGCAGATGAGGACAGCAACCCCATCCCACAGAAACCCCACAGGAAGAAATTTGCTGTAAGAAGGCCCCAAAACACATGTAGCTTTTGTGCAGTTTAAAATGTTACAATCTCTGTGACTCAGATTGTGTCCTGACACCAGCCAGGGGTGCCTGTTCCCCTGGAGGAGAGCATGTCAGGCTACACAGTATCTGCTGAGTTCATTCAGTCTCCCTACTCAGCACCCTGTGGTTCTCTTGTTATCTGAACCCTTCTCCATGTTGCTGCTGACTTCCAGAGACTTGTTCTGCCCTAGAATTGCACTCACTCCCTCCCATCATGCCTGTGGGCACCCTCTCCTTGCCTCTTCCTGACATCTTCTCCCACAAGGCCACAACTCTACTTGCTGAACCTAGGCCACCCTTACAAACCCACCTGGCTTCGGTAGCTATGAACTATTTCTCACAGACCTCATTTGCCACTTCCTGCTAGCCTTGACCTGGCAGCCACGCACGTAGCCTATCAGCATTTTTCAGAGTTCTTGTGTTTACTTTCCCTCTCCTTCAGCACGGTTAGTGTTTCTGGGCTTTAGAAAGGTTTACATAACCTGAGAGATCTGGATCCATGGTTAGTAATTAACTTATGGAAGATAGATTGATGATAGATGATGGATAACAAATAAAAAGATCGATGATAGGTGGGTGGATAGGTGATGATAATAGGTAGATGATAGATTGATGATAGATAAATAAATAGATAGATGATGATGATAGAAGATAGATAAAGATAGATAGAAGATAGATAGGTGATAGGTGAAAGATAGATGATAGATAGATAGATAGATAGATAGATGGTAGATAGGTAGGTGCTAGATAGATAGATAAAAATGATAGGAGGATGTTAGATAGACCACTAGCTGATGGTGAGCAGGAAGGACTACCTCACAGAGAGATGACAGGTATGTGTTCCAAAACTACAAGTACAAAATGTCTTCCCACCAGTGAGTCAAGTTAACCACAGCAGCCTGACCTGGAGACTTGGGGCACAGACTCTGAAGTTTCAGGTTTATTCTCCTGCCACTTAAATGTGTCTTACATTCTGTAAAAACTAAGAGTCACAGTGTAAGCATTCCAGAGGATAAAGAGGTCGGGCCAGATACCATGCGTGCAGGTGAAGGAGGAGTAGCAAAGGAAAGTCGCCCTTCCTGTGGCTTTCTTTTGCACGGGTTCCATTACACAACCCTCACCCTCTACGACCTGACAATAGTAAATAGAAAATTACAGAAATAAGCAATTTGTAAGTTTAAATAACCTTTATGACATTATATTGGCCTAATTCTATTATGTCTCTAATGTTAGCTGCAATTGTTAATTTCCTACAGTGCCTGGCTTAAGAATTACACTTTTCGCAGGCTTATAGGGATCAATGTAAAGAAAAAGCAGCCATGAAGTTAGGGCTAAGTGCTGGCCTAGGCTTTCAGCCACGGCAGAGTTATGCTGGAGTTTGTGGCTGCTGCACTAACCCTTACTGTTATCTGGCTTAATTTTTTCCCAAGTTGTTTTGCATGTAATGATTCTTCTGCCTCAGTGTTCCTGAGTGTATTCTTCTCTTTCCTGCTTAGGCTCCCAAGAAACATTTACAAAATGGGATCATACGTGGCTACCAAATAGGCTACCGGGAGTACAGCACAGGAGGCAACTTCCAGTTCAATATTATCAGTATTGACACCACCGGGGACAGTGAGGTGTATACCCTGGACAACCTGAACAAGTTCACCCAGTATGGCCTGGTGGTGCAGGCCTGCAACCGGGCTGGCACAGGACCTTCTTCTCAGGAGATAATCGCTACCACCCTGGAGGATGGTAGGTCTGGGCATCCACAGTCTGTGGCATAACTTCCTTTCTCTGCCCTGCAGCCCGGCTCCCCGTTGCTTAGCCCAAGTAACCCACCACATCAATTCACTCCTGCCCTGGATGGGTCTGCATCAAAAGCCCAAATATATTCCTGAATTTTCCTCCTTCTTTGATTTTGAAACACAAGAGTGGGTTTCGTCATAATAAAACCAAAGCAGTCCCCATCTAAAGAGCAGAGATAATAATTTCCAAATCTTTCCCCAAACCAGTATCAAGAAGCTTTTGGAATTTTTTCTATATATTATATACCCCCCCCCCCCCATGGCTTCTTTCCATTTTCAAGCATTCTGTGGCCAGAGAAAACACACGAAAAAGGTCCCAGGCTCTCTGGAGCAGATCTTATAGTGATCATGCGCCCTCTAGTGACGAAAATGAATTCATGCACACGTCCTCTAAGGCAGGAAAACAGCCCAACAGCGCTTGATGACAGAGAACTCTCCTGTCCCAACATGGTGGCATCTACACATTGCCATTTAAAAAACTCTTTGCACAATGATCCATTTGATTGTAGACCAGAGAAGGCTTAGAGAACTAGAACCTAGAAGACCAGAACGTTCTAGCTACACACTCTGCAGGAGGGTTTAGCCCTGCTTTTCCATTTGTTCCTTCATGACTTTCAGCTAATGTTTGGCATCCTCTCCTTGCCCCAACATTTAAAGTTAACATAGAGTCAATATTTAAGATAGTGTATAAACTAGTGGGCACCATTAATCCCAGCAGCTGAGAGGCAGAATAATGCAGATCTCTGTGAGTTTGAGGCAAGCCTTATCTACAGAGCAAGTTCCAGGTCAACCGGAGCTGTATAGAGACCCTATCAATCAATGAGCAAATAGCATATACTACTAATTCCATTTTCCCTCTTGCCTCTGATAAAACCTTACGCTCCTGATAAAGAGGCTGGGGAGATGAGATAGGGAAGCTGCGTGGTTGTATTTCTTCTTTCCTGCATTTTCCCTTAGTCTTCCAACCCAGTGATGTGTGCGCTAAATGTAAGGGAAGGCAATAGTTTGCCAGGGCGGGGGAAGTGCGAAGCAGACAAGCAGTGAGCTCATCCTTCGGACTTGAAGTCCACTCAAGTCAAGTCTGGGGTCAGTTCCTGAAAGTGGAGTTACTAAGTGGGAGGGAGGAACTGCAACACCCTTCACAGAAACTGTGTAGCCTCAAGACCCTCACCCAAGTTGCAGTATTCCTGTGGGGAATTGCACTCCTTTTCCTTTCTTTGTGAGGTTGAGCACATTCTCCTTTGTCCTGCATGTTAGAATAGTAAATTAGCTGCCTATCTAATATTGCCCTCCTGCTGCTATCATAGGTTCTAATTATTTCATTTCAGTGCCCAGTTACCCTCCCGAAAATGTCCAAGCCATAGCAACATCACCAGAGAGCATATCAATCTCCTGGTCCACGTTGTCCAAGGAGGCCTTGAATGGGATTCTCCAGGGGTTCAGGGTCATCTACTGGGCCAACCTCATGGACGGAGGTAAGAGGACTCAGGGGGGATGTTGAGTGTGTTCCCGTGGGATGCCCCACACAACCTGAAAACCCCCTCCCTAGGGTGAAATTGGGTTCTGGAAGGACCTCTTTGCCATTGAAAACTCCTCTCTTTGTTCAGCCACCTGACACTGACACTTGAACCTGTGTATACACATGCAAAAAAAAAAAAAACTTGAGGCAGTGGCAGGTGGGGACATTAGGCATTGGGGTAAGTGTCTATGTCAAAACTGCAGGCTTCTTCAACCATAAATCTCTATTTAGAATGTTATACATAACATGCCCTTAAATGTTGCTCCTTTCTTCTCCGAATAGATCCCAGCAAAGAAACATTAAGTCCCTATAGAAGAAGTATGTGAGAGCTCCAGAAAAAATGCTAGAACACCTCAAGAAACTTGTAATAGTCCCCATAAGGAGCCCCTAAATTAAAAACCCCAGGTTTAGACAGTGCACACATCTGTCCAAGGTCTCCATTGCTAGCATGTTCCCATGCCTTGGCCCCTGGACCCACCATGCCTCTCTCTTCCTGTCTCCCTTCTTACCCCTTGACTTTCTTCTTCTTGTTCCTCCCTTCTTGTGCCCTCTTTCCCCACCCCTCACTTCCTACCTCCTCTCTTCCTGCCCCTCACTTCCCGTCCCCTTATATCCTGCCTCCTTTCTTTCTACCTCCCCTCTGCGATGGTGCATCCTTCAGCTCTTCTGCCTAGACATAAACTGCATTTCTTGTTGGGCAAAGAGCTCAACAAGAGTTTCTAGTTCCTCACTTAGGACCTCTGGGTCTGTGCTGCTAAGCAGGTCCCATCTCCAAACAGTAAGGAACACACTGGGCCTCACAGATGGCTCTGCTGTTGTCACCAAATGAAGGAGTGCAGGTACAATAGCAAATGCTTTCTTCCACTGAGTCACTGCCAGTGTATGACCCTCTACTGTGCATATTCTAGGGGTTGTGTTTCCAGAACTATCTGCCAGGCCTAGTTCCTTTTGAAGTGGAGTCTCAGGCTTCCCACGCTACCCTGCACTGGGAGACAGCCTAGGAAGACTCACAATCCACATTAGATCCAAATTAACTGAGCATCTCTTAGCTTGTAAGATGGGAGAGAGTAGGACTTGCTCAGAGGGCTCTAGACTAATGAGCAGGAACAGGACACTAATGCCAAGTGGTGGCAAGTAGTGGCCAAGTAGTGGATCAAATCAGCAGATGCTACCCACAAAACAGGGGCCGAAACAAAAGAGTTAGCAACTGAAGTCTTCACACAAATAAAAGCTTTAAAGAACATAGTGTAGAATAACAAAATGTCTGTGGTCATCCATTTTTGACAGCATAGCCTAGGAGACTGTTCTACACATTGTGAGTGTCTTTATACACACCAAACTTTAAAGTTGGAATGGCCACACATCTTTTAAAGGCAGTTCTGAGGAATGGCTCTTTCCACTCAGAGGATCAGGGCCAAGCCAGTGGAGATTAGTGTTCATTTCAGATATTCTACTCACGACTTCCAAAAGCTAAGTAAGGAAACATCAGAAATTGAAGCACTGCCTGAGGGCCTCTGATGCGGGATTCCCCTCTGTGTGCTGTGAATATGTTTTATCGCCATTGCTTAATAAAGAAGCTGCTTTTGCTCAATGACTTAACAGAGTAAAGCCAGGCAGAAAATCTGAACAGAGATGGAGAGAGAGAGAGAGAGAGAGAGAGAGAGAGAGAGAGAAGGCAGAGTTGAGGAGATGCCATGTAGTTGCCAAAGGAGACAGATGCCCTGGAACCTTACCAGTAAATTTTATGGTAAAATACAAAATAATAAGAATGGGTTAATTTAAGATGTAAGAATTAGTTAATAAGAAGCCTGAGCTAATAGGCCAAGCAGTGTCTTAATTAATATAGTTTCTGTGTGATTATTTTGGGTCTGGCCAGGCCAGAAAAGAATAAGCAGTCTCTGCCTGAGGCTTCCTCTAAGAAATGCACTTTGCTTCAGCAAGGTACTCCATGTGATTATCATGGCATCAACTCCACTGTCCTGGATCCCACAGAGCCTGAGCATGGAGTGGCATGAGAAAGCTTGACCTAACCAGACCTAGAGAACATTTCACACATGCACATCATATTTGAACACACCATATGAAACATACATATAACATACACCATATACACAATACACATATATAGCCCACAACACATGTACCATATATCATATATGCATGTATGTATGTGTATACTTATATATAATAAATATGCCATGCAAATTACACACACCATAAAAACTATATACACCACACATACTCCCAACATATCATGTATACACTACAGACACATATAGATCACATATACCACATACAACACACATACACTCCACATACCAGACATATCACCATATACATGCTAGGCATACCACAATACACACACAACACACAGAATGAATACCACACACATATACCATAAATACCACATACACCATATACGCCATGCACACTACTTTGCTAAACTCCCCCACAGAAGCACACAGAACACATGCCATACACACACTGCATACTACATATGCCTACACACAGTGTAAATACTACGGTTACTACACAGCACACACACCATGACCCAGCATACAGGACAAACCCTTCTCACAGGCATTAGGTGTGCATTAAACACACCACCCACATATACCACATGTCATAATCTGAAGGTAAGTGGCTCTTGACCTCTGACCCTCTGCATGGGATGCTGATGGGCAACATGCTACAGTGACCCAGTCAAAGCACATGCTTCTAGTCCCATCTCCCTGTGTTTACCAAGTATCCAGGACCAGTATCCAAGACTGTGTGGTAAATGTGAGGCCATCCAGCCCAACTCTACAGTCCAGGCTCTTGGGGATCTTAGCCTTGTCCTGGCAAGGCTTTTCTGTCCCTGAGCTCCCTGCCTGTCAAATGATGGCTGTGAAGTCATGAACAGCTGAGCTGGCTTGGTCTGTGCATCTTGGTCCCATGGGCAGTGCTTGTGCCCGAGGAAGCAGACCTGGCGTGTCCCCACCTCTGTTGATCACGGATACAGCTCTCAATACTTTTGGAACATATCAAAGGCATCCTTTACTGTAGCCAGCCACCCAGCCAATGTCTGCTGGGCCCCTGCCTCTCGCCTTAGTCCTGCTTTAATAAGATGGCAGTCACATGGTGCTAACTACTTCTCACAGACACCTAACCCTGGGAGAGAGATCCCAGGCCTCCTCCTGCTCCACCACTGACTCTGGAAGTGACTGGCTTCTGTTCAAAACTCAGGACCTTACAGCTGTGTAGACACTTGCCACATCCTTCCACTTGCTTTCCGTTGCCATGTGCCTTCTGCCTGAGGTGGAGGCACGGTGTTCCAGCTCTGAATAGCACTCTTGGAGCCCACTCAGGAAAGTAAGGCAGATTTAGCACATGCTGAGGTTCTCACACATCACCTGCCACTTCAGCGGTGATGCAGAGAAGAGTTCAGCCCAGGTAAAATGTATGTGCTGAGCCGCTCAGATCAACTCCAACGCAAGCCTCCTTTCAATGTCTGCTCGGTCATAGTGAGGCAGCACACACGGTCAGGAGTGCCTCGATATTGCTGAGCAAATACATCGTGAAATCCTGATACACAGACCCTTTGAGAAAGTCCCCCACCATCTGGCCAAACTACTTACCTATCACCCCTCAAAGTCAGTGTTTCTTTTGTTTACCAAGATGCAGGTTTAGTTGTGGAAGCCAGCTGAGTTGTGGATACCTAGGTGACTATAGTCAACGATGTTGGGCAGAGATGGAAGTTGTCCGTGTTCATTAGCTCGGATATTTGAGATTAACTTGAGTACCTAAAATTCTGCATCTGCTATAGTAGAATTTAAAACGTATATAAATGATGAACCTGTGAGCTGGCTCAGTTGTTGAAGTTCTCACCATACAAGCGTGAGTACCAGAATTCAGATCCCCGTAACCAATGTAATGCCAGACGGCATAGTGACCTACCTGTAATTTCACTCTTAGAAGGCAGAAACAGGGGACTCCAAGGCAATCTGGCAAGCAAGGTCAGACATATCAGTGAGCTGTGGGTTTGATTGAACAACCCTGCCTCAACAATAGATCATGGACAGAGCTCGCAACAACACACAGATGGAGGCATGATGGTTCCAAACATCAAAACACACATGTTCATGTGCACCCCACACAAGTGTATACCTACACACATGTAAAAGTGATGTCTTAGTTTGATTTTTATTATTGCGATAAAACACACCAATGGAAAGCAACTTGGAGAAGAAAGGGTTTATTTCAGGTTACAGCTTATAGTCCACCATGAAGGGAAGTCAGGTCAGAACCTCAAGGCAGAAACACTGCTTACTGGCCTGTCCTTCATGACTTGTTCAGCCTGCTTCCTCAGACAACCAGGACCATCTGCCTGGGATGGCCCCACCCACAATGGGTTTGTCCCTCCCACATTGATCATTAATCAAGTAATGTCCCACAGACATGCCCATAAGCTAATCTGAAAAAGGCATTTTCTCAACTGACGTTCTTTCCTCCCAGATGATACTAGCTATGTCAAGCTGGCAAAAGTTTAACCAACACACACACACATATACACAGAAGGGGGAATTAAATATATGCATTTATTTTATATTTATGTATATTTCATATGTATATGGAATCCTCACGTTGCAGAAGTTTCACAGTGAACAGCCGTTAGCTATATAGAGATAGCTCACCAATGAGAGGTTGTATAGAGCTATCTGCTAGTGTGAGTCCTTCCCAGGGTGACATCGTGACACTGGAATTTGATTTATCAAGAGTAAATTACTATTTCCCAGTGTGTTTGTTTTGGTTTGTTTTTTGCAGACATTTTGATACAGGTGATTATTTTTCTTGTAAACACTAGGTGGTAACTTGTGTAACAGGGAGGAGGTCAGCCAGGCGGTGTGACGGGCTCAATAATGAGGTCCTACTTTTTGGCTTTGTCCTCCAGAGCTGGGCGAGATTAAGAATGTTACCACCACTCAGCCTTCCTTGGAGTTGGATGGACTGGAGAAGTACACCAACTACAGTATCCAGGTGCTGGCCTTCACCCGTGCAGGGGATGGCGTCCGCAGTGAGCAGATCTTCACCCGCACCAAAGAGGATGGTGAGACATAGACCTGTGGGCACTGGATGGGAAACGCAGATCCAGGTCAGAAGGCTTGCCGGGGGCCTTCGTCCACCAGTCTGCTCTTGGCCTCATTCGCTCTGGTCTTCACTGCCCTTCTGCACAGCCCAGCAGGAGTCAGTCCTCCCCCTCCTACCCCACTTGATGTAGGCATTGATTATCCTGATCCTGCCCCTTAAATAGTTTCCTGCTCTTTCCTCTCCTTCTACCCCCTCCCACTTCTCCTCCTTCACCTCTCCATCCCACCCCCTTTTCTACCTCTCTTCCTATCTCCCCCCTCTTTTCTCTTCTTCCTCTTTTTCTATCTCTTTGTTTTTTGTTTTTTTAAATCATTTTTGTTTGTTTCAACTAAAGTCACCTTTGATCCCAGAGCTCACATGCCTGCTGAGTGTTCTGTGTTCTATTCAGATAACTTCAATTACTACCAGGGTCAGCTCTTTTCCTTAAAAATTATGGACTGTCCTAAGTCTTACTTCACATGAATTGGATCATTTTAGAAAGGCTTGAATTCAAAGCTTTGTGGCTTTTTTAACAAATGAATTCTTACAAAGATTCATGCTGACTAGGTAGGTTTTATCTCCCTTCTGACTCCAGACTAGCTCCACACAATCCGGCCTGCAGTTTTCTTTATTTTGAGGGAAATTCCCTGTGTCCTTGTCGGAGCTGTTTGAGGAGCAGTTTCGGCTTCTGTGCACAGCAGAGCATCAGCAATAAAGACAGTTAGTTTCTTCCTCGGTGAAGGAAGAAATAAGCAGTATCTAATGGATGTCCAAGTGGCCTTCCAGAAGCTTCCCGGCAGACACAGGCTGATCCAGGACATGCAGCACCCAGGTGCTGTGTAGACACGATCCCCAGGAAGTGGGGCAAGTTAGGGAGGAGAGCCCTCACTGTGGCCCATTCTGTCACCTGCTGATACTGGCAGGTTTGATGTCTCTGCCCCCTCCACTGCATGGATCCCAAGCATGCTATTCTTTGATTCCAGCCCACATTTGCCCTAGAAGCAAAGCTTAGAACTCAGATTTGGATACAAGGATGGGACCTCCTCCTTCTCCTTCCCACCCCCTGTCCATCATCCTCACTATCACCAGACATCCAGAGGGTGCATTCTGCTGCCTGCACCCTGATCACCCCTCAGGGGAGCCATGCCCTGCTCTCTCTCCCACAGTCCCATCCGCCTACCCCCGTTGACTCTCCGGGCCTCCTTACACAGAGGTGTCTGCACGCATGTTAGTCCTCACTCGGTTTGGTTTTTCTAGAACTCACAGACCATTCTTCCCAAGAATATGCAGCTGTTCGTGAGTTCTATTCAATGACATTGGTCATTTCAGGAAATCTGAAGTCAAAATGCAGTGCCCTTGGGAAGTCACTGTGCCTTGAGCTATAGACAAAGCTAAGTCCTAAACGAGAGGAACTATTGTTTAAAATGTGTCGGCGAGCTGTGTGAATGCTGGTGTCTGTGCCCTGCTGTCCACAAGACCTAGAGCAACTCACTTGCTCAGAGCAAGAGGGAACCAGGCTGCTACACTCCTCAGAGCATACTGACGTATGTAGGAAAGCAGAAATGAAGTGACCACGCCTCAGGCTGACATACAGAAGGCTGCACCCCTCCCTATATACCTCGTTATTTGCTCTCCCCTCCCTCAGAGCATCACTATTGTTCAAGAGAAATCGATCTATAGCATAAAATTTGACATTAGCATTTTTCGGGAGAATCTATGGAAATCCAATAAAATGGGAAGATCTCCACAGCTCCCATCAACAAGAAATTTGGGATCAATTTTTAATTAATCATCCAGTTTTAGAAATGGTAGTTTTCTGTCTCAGTGTTTGTCCCTGAGGCCTAAGGTCTAACTTGCCCATCCACTGATCTCTGCTTTTATACCTGGTTCATGCAGTGTATGGAGATGTGATTGACTATAGATGTCTCTACAAGACCCCATGGAGGAGGTGAATTCCCCTCATCCTGGTGCTGTGGGTCAAAGGGAACTACAGGTTGAATGTCAGTATTGATTTAGGGTAAGTTGGCATTTTTGAAGTGAAATGGAGTAGAGACTGGAGAGAAAGAGGGAAACACAAAAAAATTCATAACTTAGAAAAGGCAGGTGCCCTAGTTTGCTTTCTGTTGCTGTGACAAAAACACCATGATCAAAACACCATGACCAAAACACTATGACGAAGACACCGTGACCAAAAACACCTGTGGGAGGAAAGGACTTATCCCATCTCCACATCACACTCTATCATTGAGGAAAGTCTGGATAGGAACCGAAAGCAAGAACCTGGAGGCTGGAGCTGATACAGGGGCCGGGGGAGTGCTGCTCACTGGCTTGCTCCTCATGGCTTGCTCCTCATGGCTTGCTCCTCATGGCTTGCTCTGCGAGGCCCATCTTCCCAGGGGTGGCTCTGTTTACAGTGTGATGGACTGACCCACATCAACCATTGACCGGAAAGAGGGCTCTACAGACTCTCATGGAGGGATTTTCTCAGTTGGTGTTCTCTGTTCCCAAATGACCCTTGTTTGTGGCTGACAAAACACTAACCATCACAGCAGGGACCTTGCCAACCACCATTAGAGACTCCGTATCTAATGTAAGCAGGTGTTTGTGCAGTGAGAACAACTCACTTGTTCAGTTTCTCAGTCCCAAAAGATTCTTAGACTCACAGACATGTTCTCAGGCCTCTGGTCATTTCCAAAGGTCCAAGCATAGAGGTCTCAGAGCCATATGTTGTAGTGCCGTCTCCATGGCCATCCTCTTGGGGGTGAAAACGGTTGAATTTTCAGATCTACTTCTCAGGACCCTCAGTTCAATAAAAATGTACGCAGTTGCCATTGCTGAAAGAGCATAAGAAGTGACTTACTACACCGCTTTATTCTTTTGAGTGGATGAATTCTAAATTCCGAAACATTTGTGGAATCTTAATATCATTTTATTTGCGCAAACTATAACCTAAGCATAGCTGCACAAGGGAAGAATACAAACAAAACATGATCTATTAATTTTCAGTAGCTATTTTCAGTCTGAGGCATGCGCTAAACTCAACCTCCATCCCTTTATGAAAAAGTACACATAGTATATGTATACCTAGAGTCAACTCTGTTTAAATATTTACTAAGCCTATCATTAATGCCCGTGAGCCTCTGAGGCCAGTGGTAGATGGATTGTGTGATCTCTGCAGCCACCCCACGTGGCCCCAGGGCAGCTCCTCACTGGTGAGATATCGAAAGGCAAAGCTGAGTGAGGGTAAAAGACACCCACGACAGAATCTGAGACTCCTTTGGCTACCAGTATCCCGAGCTTTGTGTAGCCTGAAAAGCATTGAGCGTGTATTAGTTGCTTTTCTGTTGCTGTGAGAAAACCTACAGACAAAAGTGACGTCAGGAAGAAGGTTTGTTTTGTATGGGCTCCCAAAAGCAGAGCCCGACACCGTGAGGAAGGCATGGGAGCAGTCGGGGAATCCACAGTGCAGAAGGAATCTGGCTGATCACACTGCTTCCTCACACAAGAAGCCAAGAACGAAAACAGAAAAGATGAGGTTGCAAACTCTCAACATGCCCCCCCCCCCCACTTCAGTGATGCACTGCTTACTCAGGGAACCTGCTCCTCCTAAACTTCCCACAGCTTCCTAAGCAGAGCTACCAACCGAGAACCAAGTGTTCAAAAAAGGAGCCTTTAGAGGATATTTCTTTTTCTTTTCTTTTTTTTTTTTACGGGCATCTCATAGCTTTTTTTTTTTCATTTTTTTATTGAGAAAAGGAGAAAAAAAAAAAACAAGTTTCCACCTCCTCCCAGCCTCCCATTTCCCTCCCCCTCCTCCCATCCTTCTCCCCCTCCCCCCACTCCTCTCCCCATCCCTCTCCAGTCCAAAGAGCAGTCAGGGTTCCCCGCCCTGTGGTAAGTCCCAGGTCCTCCCCTCTCCATCCATTTCTAGGAAGGTGAACATCCAAACTGGCTAGGCTCCCACAAAGCCAGCACATTACGTAGGTTCAAAACCCCGTGCCATTGTCCTTGGCCTCTCATCAGCCCTCATTGTTCACCATGTTCAGAGAGTCCAGTTTTATCCCATGCTTTCCCAGTCTCAATCCAGCTGGCCTTGGTGAGCTCCCAATAGATCAGCTCCACTGTCTCAGTGGGTGGGTGCACCCCTCGTGGTCCCGACTTCTTTGCTCATGTTCTCCCTCCTTCTGCTCCTCATTGGGACCTTGGGAGCTCAGTCCAGTGCTCCATTGTGGGTCTCTGTCTCTATCTCCATCCATCACCAGATGAAGGTTCTATGGTGATATGCAAGATATTCGTCAGTATTGCTATAGGATAGGGTCATTTCAAGTTCCCTATCCTCAGCTGCCCAAGGAACTAACTGGGGACCTTGGCTTGGGCATCTGGGAGCCACTCTAGGTTCAAGTCTCTTGCCAACTCTAAGGTGGCTCCCTTAACTAAGAATTGTGCTTCCGTGCTCCCCTATCCAATCTTCCTTTAGAGAGGATATTTCTTATTCAAACCACAACAGAGTATGTCCAAGTGTGAGTGTATTTTAGTGAACCCCAAAATGGTGTGTGTGTGCATATGTGTGTCTGTCTGTCTGTGTGTTCACACAATCACCTCACGTAGCCCTTCAATAGGTACTGGAGGTTTTGTATCTTGTGAAGATATCAGACCTTCCTAGAATTCTAGAACTTCAGGATGTGGGAATGTGTCCTGTGCAGTAGATAGAAGCCAACACCACAACAGGCCATGTGTCCTCTGCATCCTGTTATAGCCATCACCCCTCACCCCTGGCCTCACACCTCATCCTCACCCTTCACCCCTCACCTCTCACCCCTGCCATCACCCCTGGCCTCATCCCTACCCCTTACCCCTCCCGTCACCCCTCACCCCGGGCCTCACCCCTGCCTCTCATCTCCACCCATCATCCCTCACCTCTCACCCCTGCTATCACCCCTCACCCTCATCTTTACCCCTCACCCTTACCATCACCCCTCACCCTCATCCGTACCCTTCACCCTGCCCTCACTCCTGTCCCCTCACCCTCATCCCCACCCCTCATCCTCATTCCTCACTGCTCACCCCTACCCTTATTCCCCACCCCTCACTCCTGCCATCACCCCTCACCCTCATCCCCACCCTCACCTCTGCCCTCACTCCTGCCCTTACCCCTCACCCTCATCCCTACCCTTTACCCTGCCCTCACTCCTCACCCCTCACCCCCGACCTCACCCCTCACTCTCATTCCCACCCCTTACCCCTACCTTCACCCCTCACCCTGACCTCATCCTTACCCCTCACCTCACCCTCATCCCCACCCCTCACCCCTGCCCTCACTGCTCACCCCTGCCATTACTCCCACTCCCACCCTGGTCTAGCAGTTCACTTGAGGATAGGAAGACTCTGACATCCACTGTCTCTGACCCCCAGACCCTCTTTTAAAGGATCCCAGCCCATCTCCCAGGTCTAATGTTCTTTCTACCCTTTCCTTCCCAATTTCCCTCCCACCTTAGAGAAAATGACATAAGAGCCCAGTTGTTGCTGAGCGTTCAGCAGGGCCTCGCCTTTTTAAAGATCCTATTTCCAAATACAGTGACACCTGGAGTCATGGGGTTAGGACTCGGTGTATAAATAAGGAACACTGGGACCCTTGACACTGGTCCTCAAAGAGCTGAGCAGAGAGAGAGGGGCTAGGCCACCAGACAGTCACTGGGGGAGGGGTTGTCACCTGGGCGACCATTCAAGGCTCCTTCCACCCCGGGACTAACCCCGGATTTTCTAGTTCCAGGTCCTCCGGCTGGCGTCAAGGCAGCAGCAGCCTCAGCCTCCATGGTCTTCGTGTCCTGGCTGCCCCCGCTCAAGCTGAACGGCATCATCCGGAAGTACACCGTATTCTGCTCCCACCCCTACCCCACGGTAAGTTGCTGGACAGCCAGGTGCTTTTCCAGCCCCTTTCCAGAACCTCAACTGAGGATGCTCTTTCCTCGGCTCCCTCCCACTTGTCCTCCTTGGTGTTTTTTTCTTGTGGGGTTGTCTCCACACACAAAGCAAAGTCCTCATTTACACCTCCCTCCAGAGCAGCCCTGCATCATCAGAGGGGATGCAGTTGCCGGGAGCCACTGTCTATCTGGCAGCTTCCCAGGCACTGCCACCCGCTTATCAGAATCCCAGTGCAGAGGCTGTAATTGTGCCTTAATTGTTGCTCACTGGACAGCACCTATTGCTTGCACTGTTGGGCTCCACATTAAATGCACTCGTTCCCTCCTTCCCTCTCCCTACATGCTCCTGCCTGCCCTCCCTCCCTGGCCTATTTCTGCTGGGCAAGGCCTGTCAGCGGGGACCTGTGCCCTCTGCAATAGCAGAAGCAGGCCTGGTGAAGGTGCTGGGAGTTGGAATGCACACACCATTTCAAACCCTACTACTTATTATCACTGCTGTTAGCAATGCTGGGTAATAATTATCAGTTTGAAATTTTCTTTGGCAAGATACCAAGTCATATCAGGAAAGAGGGGGATTTGGAGAAAAGAAAAAATAAAAATAGTGCATTCAGATTTACAATGCTCTCGTGGAGATTTTAAGACAATTTCAAAATGTAGGGATGATGTCTAACCCATCTTTGTATCCACTGTTCCTGGCATAAAACTTAGAAACATGTAGCTAGGCTGTGGAGAAGGTTCAGCTGTGCTTTCCAGACAAGCATGAGGGCCTGAGTGGGTCCCCAGCACCCACAAAAAGAGTCAGGTGTGGTAGTGCAAGTGATCCCAGCTCTGGAGAGGCAGAGATGGACAAATCTTTGGAACTTACTGGCCAGCAGTGTAGCTGAGTCTGTTTGCTACGGCGTCCCGGTGAGGTTTCTGTTGCCATGATAGGCAGGAAATTATTCATTTGACTTATCCTTCTGTGTCACTGCCCCGCACAGAGGCAGTCAGAGCAGAAACTGAAGGCAGGAGCTACTTTCCCTCCCTGTGAATGTTACAACCCTAGGGACCCCCATCAGCAGAATCATCTACCCTTTTCCGCATTGGGACTGGCTTGCTTCACGAATCCAAACATCTCAATTTCCGTCAATGTGGGAGGGGATGTTAGGACTGCCTTTTTCCGTGAGACTGGACAATATCACCAAATTTATTTACGAGTTCTTTCATTTAACTGATGCATTTCCTGAATCCAGACTTTCTTGGAGTGTGGAGCCTGAGGTCTGGTGTGCAGACACAGCATGAGTGGGTAGGAGCCAGGGACCCTGTGCGTGTCTGGGCAGCTGCAGCTCCTGCCCAAACAGTCAATGTGTGTTCTATGTGTACCACCACCCGCCTCTGCCGTGAGGTGCAGTTTAAATTCCGAACGGTCAGGGCTGAGTTCCAGACTGTCTGTGAGCTCTTTATGTGTCAAGTATGCTATTGCCAGCCACTGGGCCCTTTTCTTGAAACTCAGAGAGAAAGGCCAGCCTTCTACCAGGAGGGAGCACCTGCTGTTATATTTCTCTGCAAGGGTGTGGGCCCAACCCCTCACCACAGCTCCTGAGTTTAGCATTGGTCCTAGCATGTCTCCGAGTCTTCAAAAGAGAAGGCAAATCATCTCTGATGGGCAGAACTCTCGCTGTCCGCTCCAACCACTTCCTTATTTCCATTCCTTCACTCGCCTCTCATCCATCTGTCCGTTTGCTGAAACTCTCAGCTTTGCTGTTTTGGCTGTAAGAAGCTGAAGGACACTGGCAGAGCTCAGAGAACACCCCCAGCTGCCCCTGGCTGCCCCAGACTGTTCCTCTCCTCTGAATGTGAATGCAGCCTGGCTGGCGATAGTTGCTCACAGGACAGATATGCCAGAGAGTGCTATGTCCACAGGGACTGGAGAGATGGCTCTTGTAAAGCACAGGACACTAATTCGATCTCTGGAGGCCGTGTAAGAAGCTGGGCATGGTGGAACATGCCTGTCATCCCTGTCCTAGAGAGGTGGGGACAGACAGATCCTTGGGGCTCATTGGCTGGCCAGCTAGCCTTACCAGCAAGTTTCAGGTCCCAGTGAAAGACTCTGTCTTGAGAAATCTAAGTGGACAGTGGACAGTACCTGAAGATTAACACTAAAGGTTGACCTTTGGCATACACCACACACACACACACACACACACACACACACACTCACACACACGCACTCATGCATGCACACATGCATGAACACACCACATGCACATGCACAGAGCACACACTTGCACACAGCACACACACATAGGTATGCACACAGTGCACACGCATGCATGTAAACACACAGGTATGCACACAGTGCACACACATGCATGTACACACACTTGGCATACATCCCTACTATAGTAAAGAGGAAGAGTCATATGCACCAGCAGTCATAGAATGGACATAAAGGATTCTTACTGTCCTGCACTTAGACACACCAGAGCCTTCTCAAAGGTGACAGGAGACAGAACCTGGTTGTTGCCTTGAAACCACTCTAAAGTTATTTCTGTACTGACTTTTGGTGATATTAAGAAATGCAAGAAGTCGGGCTAGTTCAGCCGCTCAGCAGTTAAGAGCACTTGTTGCTTTTCCAAGAGACCCAGGTTCAGTTCCCAGAACCCCCATGGTGGCTCACAATCCCCTTTAATTCCACTTCCAAAGGATCTCACTCCCTCTTCCGACCTCCGTGAGCTCCTGTGTGTACGTGGTGCGATACACACCCAGCCAAACACACATATGAAATAAGATTAAAATAGTGGAAGGCTGGTGTTGTGGCGCATGCCTGCAGTTGCAGCACCAGGGAACCTGAGAGAGAGAAGAGAGAGAGCCCGTTTATGTTGGCCTGGCCTGGAGTGTGGTTGGTATACCCAGTGACACTACATTGAAGAAAGCTAACGTTCCCCTTCCCATCAGTTATCAAGTGCAGATGACTTCTTGCTTTGGAGCAGGACTTTATGTCACCTCCCCTTCTCTGTGCTGGGACTTTTGTCTGGTTTGGACTGGTGCGGGTCTTCTGAGTGCTGCTTCAATCTCTTTAACTTCCTATGTGCATCAGCCTTGCTGTGTCTAGAGGACACTGTTTCCTTGGTGTTTCCCCAAAGTCTTCCCTCCCGTCCCACATAGATCTCTGAACCTTGAAGGGAGGTAAAGACAGTCTGCTTAGGGCTGAGGGCTCCAAAGTCTCTCACTCTCTGCACATCGTCGAGTTGTGAGTATCTGTGTTAATTACCATTTCCCAAAGATCCTGATGAAGTTGAACAATCTAGTAATCTGTGTGTGGAACAGTATTTAGGAGTTGCTTCATTGCTATGTTAATTTAACAGAATAGTAGTTGGATTTTCCCTAGGGTCCATGATGTATCAAGTCTTGGGTTTTAGGCCTCTATTAATAGTGTCAGAGGTGGGTTCCATCTCCTAAAGTGGACCCTAAATCCATTTTTTAGTGGTTTGTTATTCCCATGACATTGCAACAGAAGGCATCTCTATCTTACAGGCAGGTTTCTGTTGTAGCTCACAGAGTTCCTAGCTGGGTGAGACTTATGATTGCTTCTCTCCTCCAGTAGCACATGTGGCAACTTCCAGCGCTGTGAACACTAGTCAGAAAACATAATAATCATTTTCTTTTTGAGACCCGAACATTCCTGCTATGTGTAGCAATGACCAGCAGAGGGCAGCACAAGCTCTGTCATTTTTCTTGTCTGAATCAATCTGAAGTGTTTGAAATAATTTCAGAGTTGAACGTAGAACACGGGAATATAAATCAAGACATGGTGTCCCCTCTAATTTGATCTTTTTTTATGAGTCCCTTGGCGTAGTTCCTCGACGATGCCCACACCACAAGATCCCTAGCAGAGATCCCTTTCTCTCTAAGACCTCCTTAAAAGGGGCAGATTGTTCTCCCATATGTAGCCCTCATCTAACAATAGGCGGTTATATCATACTATTTGCTCGGTTCATATCAGAAAAGACCACACTATTAGAGACCTCGAAGGTGTCCAGACATGTCACACTAATGTAAGTTAGCCAGGTTTTTTTCCTGCTGGTCTAAATGCACAGCAAATAAAACATTCTTCTCACTTCAAGCACCCAGAAAATGCACTAGCCTCCCAAAGATAGAGGACAGCACCCCAGCCTCCAGATTCATGTAATTAGAACCTCAAGATTCAGGCTATCAAAATAACAATAGTATAGTAATAAAATAATATAAACTATTACAAACAATACAACCCAAAGAAGTGAGGTAACTCTTTAAAGTCTCTCTTTAGGGGTTTGAGTGATGGCGCAGTGGTTTAGGACACGGACTTCTCTAACAGAGGACTCAGCACCCACATATCAGTTCACAGACACCTGTAACTCAAGTTCCAGGGGATGTGACGTCCTCTTCTGGCCTCCAAGGACAAAAGTATTCAGGTGGTACACAGACATGCATGTAGGCAAAAAGCATAAAGTAGAATAAAAATCTTTTATAGTCTCAGACTAGGAAGTACCTGAGCTGCATTTTCCTTAAATTCCGTCTGTGAAAAATTATATAAAATTCACCTATGAAAAAATATAGATGAGCACCAAGCTATAGTAGCTATCTACTTCATAATACTAAATTCAGAAATGTGAAATTACGCAGCAGAAATTTCCCATCAATGAAGAACAAACGACTAAAAATCATTAAAATTCTATCATCCATGAGCTGTGAGTTCTATCAATTATTCCCATCTCAGATATGATATCTTGTTTTGTTTTTTATTTTGAGACAAAGATTCGTGTAACCCAGGCCGGCTTAAACTTACTATGTACCTGACTTCCTCCCACATCTACCCTGCAATACTAGCATGTGCTGGACTCAACCTTGGGGCTTCCTGCAGTCTAGAAAACATTCCACCCACTGAAGTACAGCAGGTCCTTTGTGGTAGCCTTTAAAAGTAGGTTTCAGCTATCATATGGGCTCACAGAGACTGAA